GCTCTTCAGTTCTTGCTAGCTTTTCCCAAAAATGCTACAAAGTCTGCTGCAAATGTTGGTGGGGTCATTTGATGCTGCGGTACACAACAAACACACACTGTTAATTAAGATAATTCAGCTTAAAGTTTTATCTAAAATGAGGTTGCCTCCAGCCTTTTGCAGTCCTTCAGGCCAGGAGATAGATTCACAGAATTACACATCAGGATTGGTTGCATAATGTATAGTAGTAGATCCTTAAAGGACACATATGCCCTGATATAGTTTATAATGCATTGTTAAGTTACTTATATTTAAGAGTTATCTGTCGTTTACTGGTGGCTAAGTAATTCTTATTTACACAGTAGATGAGATTTTTGTAAAGATAAGAGTTTCTCAAGACTGGTGGAGATAACAGTACAAGTATACTGCTTCTGGGATATCTAGTTATTTTCCTCTGTTACTTAGTTTTGTTTTTTGATATATATCACCACTAAGTTGTCTGATATGAAACTACATAACACTGTGGATTTGCATACAATTATCCACAACTTTGTTTTCCTCTGCTACACAAGTAAGTTACTATAACCTGAACGACTGGAAATATCACAGTCCAACAGGATTCCCTAACATATATGCAATACATCAAGCAGTTGTTGGCTTGTCACTATTACAACCTTCTCCAATGGAAGATTATCGATTGGATAATCCATCTAATGGAAGTTTCTCCAGACACATGGAGAAACTACATCACTGCTTACTACTGACTTGGTGAGTTCTTGGCTTTCTGTTCTGTGTTCAGTTTGTACTCAGAAACTATTCTTTTTCATTACTTTTTCCTGTACTACTTCTCTCATTCTTTTCTCTTACAACTCACATTTTCAGAACTTTTATAAGATGATGCAATTTCAGAGAATTACAGTACAATAAGAAATGTACAGGACAATTTTGAAAGACTGAAGTTTGATTGTAGGCTGTACTTCCACTCTTGCTCTTAAGATGGTAGTCTAAACTTGGCTAAGCAATCCATGTACTTTGTTTTCGCCATTGCTGAAATGACAGAATTTCTCTTGTGAATTTTGAAGTGGATATTTTTTAAGAGCAAGTTTTTATGAGAGGTAAGGTGAAAGATTTTTGTGAATTTGAGCAAAAAATAGAAAATTTAATTTCATTTTTAAGGTTTGAGCATATATGTGATTCAGAAAGAATATATGGAATACAACAGGAAGAAATACACAGTGGAAGAATAAGAGCTTCTGAAATGGCTTGGCATCCTGTGTCTCTGATGCTGCCCCTAAGACAGCAAAACAGACAAATCTTTGTGCTGAAATTTGTCCAAGCAGAAGGGTTGGGGCAATACTTATTTCTGACATAGACAACTTGTGTTTGCTATAGGCTAGCCAAGACAACTTGGCTACTCAGTGGCTGTACAATGCTCTGAAGATGTGTTAAACATCTAATTATGATACTTTATTTGTCTACCAGCCACTTAACATGGATTTGGGGGGGGGGGGGGGGGGGCAAATTTGAAAGGCAAATATAGAAGAGAATTTCAAATCATCATAATAAATAAGTTGCCTTCCCTTTCTTTCCTTTCTCTTCAAAAGCCACTTTCCTGACATTGTTCATTGCATACTTTTCTGTGCTGAATAGAAACCTTTAAAATCTTGCAGAAGATAAAAGTGGGGAGTTTCTACCATGTGTAGCTAATATTGTTTCTCCTTTAGGTTCAATAGGCATCCTTACTTTTACAATGTCTTTTATCTTCTCCGTTTCCTGCTAATCACAGTTCACATTCTCACAGATTTTGTGAAACACTAGGATTACACTTATATCATTGTAGTAACTTTAAAATATCACCCAGCCGTTGTAATTTTCCCACCTCTAAAGAAACTGTAAGAGAAAAACAGAGAAAGAGAAAAAAGAATATGCATTCCCATCCTGATTTGTCACCAGATAAGCACATTGGATTCAATCCTACATGCCTTCAGCACTCAAAATTTCCAAGAAGGTCAACAGGTGTTCTGTGAGAATATGGAATGTAAGGGTCAGAGCCATTCAGAAGGAAAGGAATCTGTGCCATGTACTGTGCAAATTATGTCTGTCTCTACATTAGCACTGAAATTACTTTTATAATAGGCCAGGTAACAGCCATTTTGATTTATGTTTGAAAGAAGGAAAGGACTGAAAAGATGGATGAGATGAAAACTGAAGATTATGTAGAAAATTTTCCTGTAGTCTTTTTCTATAATTTTGCTGTAATAATTTTTCCTTTTTCAAGCAGGTTGTTGGAAAAGGCTAATTTAAATTCCAGAGTCACCAAAAGTCAGTCCGTTCACACTCAGCTATTCAGATTTATGCTTTTTTTTTTTTTTTTTTAAATCTAGGCTAATGTAAAAGAAATTTAATGGACTATAAAAAATTGTGTAGTAGTGTTGCTGGCAAGATCACAATCCACAGTGGCAAAAGTGGCTTTCTTGTTCCCTTGTATTTGTAGCAGGTATGTGAAAATAGGAATTCCTTGGTTGTTGCTGAAATATTCCTGCATACTGCCTTATTTAGAAAGTTTCTATAGCTATACAAAGGGCATCACATCCTAACTGTGCCATATGCAATATTGATAGATCCCCTAGAACCGTGGACTGACTAAGCTGCACGGGACCAACATTGTCTTATCATTGATAGTCTGCTCCTAATTTTGTGTTGTTAGACACTGTAGTGTGAGGAACACATTTGTCCAGGTTGTGCTTTGTATTTCTTCATGCTTACATTGCTACTCATGGCCTATGAACATAGGCCCTCCTATTGTGTGTAAGGAGATTCTGACATCATCTGTCATATTTGTTAAGTAGGGCCAAGCTAGAATCAAGAGATTCCAGGAATCAGGTCAGTCAGAATCAGTCCAAGCCAGAAAGAAGTCAAGACACACACCAGGAGAGGGCATCACTGACAACCAGGATAAAAATCCTAGTTGCATTAGGAGCTGGTAATAAGGAACAGGTAGAGCTAGAACAGTGTCAGGAGCTAAAGTCAGGCCTTGAGTATGAGGGCTAGGAGACAGAGTCACACTATGACTCAGGAGCCATGGAAAGGGATACAAAGAGCTAAAACCATGTATCAGGTATGTGGGAAACCACGTACACCAAAACTCTACAGACTTACAATACACCCTTCAACTATTAGACCTTATCAGGTCCTTAGTTTTTGAAAAAGCTGTTTACAGCCTCCTGCTAGACTGAAAGCACAGCAGTGCTTAAGAGGTATGGCCATAATCTGCTAAAGACATTTTGATCTGTGCAATATTCTTACCTATTTCATCCATCTTTTACTTCTGTAGTCTATTACCTTTGAAAATGACCTCTAGCATGGGTTACAAGAAGACGCTCTTTTGTAGTATTAAGACTTCATATCCATACAAGTGGATATAAGGGAAACTATTGAGTCAGATTTACTGCAATCTGAAGCTATAATGAGACCTGTAATGAGTTCCCCACAACAATGTGGGGAGTCCACCTGAGATATTTGTTTGCAGTTGTTTGAACTGACCTGGCTACTCAGCTGTTGCCTTCATGGCTGGATGAGAACTCTCACCTCAAGCTGCTGTCTGTTTTTCACTTCTTGTACCTTAGAGCTGATATCTGGGTGGCAATAGCACTGCTGCCCAGAAAAGGGAGGAATGTGTCACTGCTTGCTTGTCCTGCTGATACCAGTCTTCTAGGGCTTTTACTCATTGGAGAGATAGTAGAAAGTATTTTCTGCTTCAGAGAACCGTCCAGGAAAATAGAGATTGTATTTGTCTATCACAGGCATTAAACACTTCAGTGTCTAAATACCTTCCTCAATTTTGAGTGGAGTTGCTTCCCCCTGTCAAGAATGTTAAGAGGGATACTTTATTGATATTGTCAAAAACCCCACACATTTTGTTCATAATATCTGGCTGGTGTTACACTCTAACCTCTCAATGTAGTAAGTAATACATTTTTCCCATTATGACTGTTTAATTTGACAGTTCCTCCTAGAACTGGACAACTCAGTGAATCTTACATTTTAAGATACCATTCCTCAAGTTTACCTTAAAGCTTTTTTTTTTTTTTTTTTTTTTTTTCTGTGTGGCAATTTACATTTTTTACAGGATAGGATACATCATGAGTTTACAGAAGTTTGGATGTGAATCCTGGTTTGTTAAGTCTAAGTAACATCTAAATAAACCAGGAGTTTCAAAGAGATGACTCAGCCCTTCTGTGCTTTACACACTTTTCTTCCTTACCTATTGATTCTGTCTAGGTCCAGTCACCTTGAACAGAATCCTTTTCCACTACAGTAGGAGTAAGAATGAAGGGACATTTCTGTTAATTCAGGATGCAAGAATATTAGATCAAGTCTTTAGGAAAAGATGAATAGAAACTAGGAAGTTTTTTTTCTTTTCTTTTTGTCTCCCACATAGTTTCCAGCTTCTTCACAAGAAGGATGTCTCCTCTCTTTGTTTTGATATTTAGTCTACTGCTTTGCAGACACCCTCCATGACCCTGATGATGGTTTTCTATACCAAAACCTAGACTTTGTTAAATAGAAATTTTCATTCCTTTCCTAAATAAGCTTTTCTGGAAGAAATGTGAAGAAACAACAGGAGATTGTAGAATATTAATGGAAAATGAAATATGCAACATTTACACATTAATCTACATAAACTCTTCCAACTTGTGCAGTAAAGTGATTTTGTTTGATACAGGGAAGGTGGAGTCTACAATGATGATTTCTTTAATGGTATTTGCAGACAGTTGGGGTGGGAGGTGTGTCCTCCTCTATACTACCTTCCCAGAGTGCAGTGTCTTTTAGGGCATGTTTCCACACGTCCACCCACTTAAAAGATGTTTTGCCTGACCTGTTCAGCTGTCTATTTCAAGATTTCTTAAATGTTGCTTTCCAGAGGAATTCGGGGATACATAAGGAGGATGATTACTTATAAATTCTAGACTTCAGAAACTAAATACTAGAAGCCTAGGACACTGATGCTGTATGAATTCTTCAGTGCTGTATAGGGTCTTTGTGAGCGGTAGGCTGCCGGCAAGCTACTTTTAAATCAGACACACCTTTGGGTTGGGCTATTTTGGAAACGAAGTACTTGATGAGGCTTAAGGTATGGTCTGCTAGGGCAAGTGAATTTATTTTGTGTTTTTACATGCACTTTGATCAGCTGATGCAGCTGATAGACAGTCCCCTCTGTAAGTAACAGATGGGGTGGAGGAGTGGTGACCTGTAGTGAGTCTTCCCTGACTTTTTTTCAAAGTGGAGATTGCTGGCTTTCAGGTAGCTAGGCAAGAGAGAAAAAGGGACGTGCTATGGGGGTGCCTTTATTTGGAGATAGCAAGCCCTTCTATTTCCGGATCTGGAACGAACTAAATCAGAAGTTTCAAGGCAAAAAATCCTGGGATAAACATCTGGATAAAATCTACTTACTCCAGCAGAAAAGGTACAGTACATTTCAGCCTTCTCATCTTCCCTTTCTTCTCCTGCTCTCTCCCTGTAGCTGTAGCTGATTCTCACTCTCTTCCCTTAGGCTTTTCTGCCAGTAGATAAACTTTAAACAACCCTGGAGCACTTTTCTCTATCAGATTTCTTCTTTCAAGGTGGAATGCTTCTGGAGTTCCAATCTTATCTGCTTTCACAGGTGGGTTTACTAGGTTGCAACTGAATAACCCTGAGTGCAGGACTTCAGTTGCAAATTTATAACTATACTCTTGTCTTTCCTGTTTCATTGGTAAAGCTCACAAGAAAATGCATGAGAGTCTATCTGTTGTTTTCTAAATTATTATTAAGTGTATATGTGATGTATATGCTGCTGTCGGATGAAAGAATGTTTTTTTTTGTACAGATTCTGCTTTCTGCCTCTCTAAACATAGCCCTTACTGTGGGATAGAGTGGAGATGTTGTGCCACATCCTAGTGGTCTTCCTGGGTGGGATTGCTGTTTCTCACCCCCATGGCACGAGTGTTAACATGCACAGTGACTCCTTAGACCTCACATTATCAAGAACATTACCTGTATCTTCACATGTAAACACTGAATTGAGGCTGTTTGTTACTGCCGTGCAGGGTTACTCCCTCCACACACAGGAATGCAGGAGTATTCATGGAAATCCCACTGAATGTTTTTCACTGTTCCTTGTCATTTCTGCATGCATAAACACTGCAGTACTCAATTAACAAGTTGCTTCCAGTCCCTTGTAAAATTTTTCTTTCCTCACAAAACTCTTAACATCTCTGGGGACAAAAAGGTGGCTGTGTGGGACAAAATCTATCTTTCTATATATACATATGTTTAGACACATGTATAGAAATAAGTAGGGTAATACCTTAAGAGGGACAAATGTATGTACCTGTCTTTAGGGAAAGAACTTACATATATTATCATCTATCTTCTGACCAAATAACAAAAGCCTGTTCTATTTTACTTCCAATCAATGGGACTTAAATACACTTAAAATGGGAGGGACAGTGGGAACAATAGTGTCTCTGTAGAATTTTGAAGTGTTTACATTTTAGTATGTTCATGAAGAGCATCACAAGTAACTGAAAAATAAGTTCTCAGAAGATTCTGTAATATTCAAATGAATGTGTGCAAAAGTCTGAATATATTAATTTCTTATAACTGTCTTCACATTTTTAAGTCACAGAGATGTGGAAGGGATCTCTGGAGGTCTCTATCTAACCTCCCGCTTAAAGTTGGACTATTGCCAGCAATAGGTCACACTGATTTGGCTTTGTATAACTCAGTATTGAAAGTATCCCAGACAGAGATTCCACCATATCTTTAGGTACCTGTCACAGTGTTGTAGTAACTTCCTAGTGAAAACATTTTTGTTTCAAATGCTCAACCTGAACCTCCAAAGTCATGATTCGATGCTGCAGCCCCTTGTTTTACCATCAGCTGTTACCAAGAGGCGTTTGGCCCCTTACTTCTTGTTGCTTCCTTTCACATAGGCTCCTATTAGATTGCCATTCAACCTTCTCTTTGCTTGACATTCCTCAGTCATGTGCTGCAGGCCCATGTACATCTTCTGTATTGCTACTGATAGAGGAAAATAGAAAAACTGTTAGACATATAAATCCTTCTTCATAAACTTCTATTAGATCACTCTAGTGCAACCCCAGTAGTCCCAAAAACTAACATTTCTGTGTTTCTTTATAAAACTCTGTCTAACAACACATGTAGTGCTTACAATATCATTTTGAAATCAGGTTTGCATAGCGACATAGCTGTTCGTTTCAGTTTTAGGTCTACATGTTTCCCACAGCTTTCAACTAACATTAATTAGCCTTCTGCTATTTGGTGAGAACTTACATAGTGCCAATACATGGATACTCTTTTCCTAAAGAAGTACAGGACCATTTCTCCCTCTTCTTGTTCCTACTCTTTCCATTCTTGTCCCCAGAGATGCTCAGAATATGAGGAGAAAGAAAATTAACATTGTTAATCATCAGTTATTTCTTTCATATTCTTAGCTCTGTATGGATAGAAAAACACAACAGGAAAACATTCTGTGGTGGCTTGTGTATGGGGACTGCTTTTATAAAACATTTGCTTCTGAGGAAAAACTGTTGTAAGCCAAGAGGGCTTTTACTTCGTCCTGTCATTTTGTTGTGTGGAATTACAGTGTTGTGGTTTCAGCTTGAGTCCTTCTTAGTGTTAATGGTGCTGGAATATATACAGTAATAAGCAGCAATCAAATTCCACTATTATCTTATTGAAAGCCAGTGGTAATTATGTTTCTATTTAATTAGTATGCTCTGACTGCACACAAAAAGTCTTCATGAGAAGAACAATGCTTTTTCCTGCCCTACAACTGGTGATGATAATACCTGCAAACTAACTGTTTTGGTAGTTCTCGCCTTTGCTGCAATCACTATTCATTCTCTTTCTTCATGTGTAATAGTTCTTTGAATCTTAGTGGCAGTTAATCTCAGCATTATCCATAGTGAGGGATTTATTTGGCTCAATCCTGCACTGTATAACAATTCCTAAAGGGACATTCAAGTTCAGGAGATGTAATACAATCTCCTAATATTAAAGAGGACTTAGAATTTAATTTGTCTTAATCTGCTGGTTTCTTTCTGTTCTAGAATCTCCTTTTTAAACAGCTCATTGTGGAGTACAGGGACAGTGGTCACATCTCAAATGTCCATTCTAGAATTATCTTCGGAAATAAACTCTGTGATCTGCATAGTCTGGAGCACGTGAACATAAGAACCCAACATAGTTCATAATAATGGGAAAAAAAGAGATAAATACTTATGAAAATTCAGACCTTATAGCAAAGTGAAGAGGAAGCACACACCTATCACACTCTAATAGATCCTCCAGAAATAATGAGATCCATTGCTTGATTTCTATTTTTCAGTCTGGCTTTCAGTGTAAGGGCTTCTAAAGAAACGTGAACAACATCTCCCTAGCATGTAATTTTAGAAATTCCACCATATGAGAATTGCATATGTTCATAAAAAATAACTAATAAATTATAAATTAAAGCAAGTGAATACATGGATACAGAACAATTATGTTACATTTTTCTTTCTGCTATTGCCTGCCTTGATAACTTTGATTGACAAATAATGTCTTCTGTGTGTCTCTTCTCTCACATCTGTGGCTTAGGTATTAGTAGTATCACCTGGTCTTCATGGGATGCTCTGAGGCTTAATTATCCTAATGACAATAAACCATTTAACTTGTGTGGTACATTTAAAAAAAAAATTAAACCAAAGCATTTTTACACATTAATTAACTGTAGAAAACTGTCTTATGAAAAATAATTAATTAGAGGTGCTTGGGACAATTTGTATAACTTGCAGAGAGCTATGGTCATTCCAAATGTGTGACAAAAAAACTTTATATCCCCTATGGTTTCCAAAATTTTTTGTGGCTCTTTAGTCTCACAGACATATTAGTAAAGTGCTCTGCTTACCCTGAAAAGAAATCTTTCTGAAGCTAGTAATGAATGAGATATGTCATCATAGTGTTGCTGTTCATTTGCCTAAACATTACTGAGTTTTCAGTGCACAAATTAATGTCCGACTTTCCTGTCTTAAAATTCACCATGCCTGTCAGTATTAATTGGTTCCTTTGCTCCCAAAGGTGACAGTGATATAAAGATGAGAGCTCCCAGTTCCACCACTTCATTTGTGTTAATGTTTCAATAACAGTGCTTCTGAGTACTGACAATGGGAAGAATATCTTGTTGGAAACTCTGCTGCGACATGTAAAATGAAGTCAAAGGCATCACTGGCAGCATTTCTGGTCTTATGCTGTGACACCTTCATCCTAATTGAATTTTTTAGTCTAATAATGGAAAACAAACCTCTATAATTTCACAGGGGTAAAGGTCCTCCAGAACTCACATTTCCCCAACAACGCACAGACATACACACATCTGACCTCAGTGCCTAAGATGCGGCTTAGGCTCATAGACTTAAGAAGCTAGCTGCCTTCTTAAACTTGGCTATAGGTTTCCTTGTGAAGAAGTAAACATGAAATGTGTGCTCTGAAAAAAACCCACCCCAAATTAAAAAGTTGTTAGAGAAAACTACTTAGACATGGAGTGAGGAACACAACATAGAATAAAACTGCAAGAAAATCACTGTTGAAGAGGGTTGGAAGTTTTGATGCAGGATGAGCTTATGCTTCAGAAAACAAATTTGTTTTATGAATAACTCAGTGGTAATAAAGAATAACTAACATTTGCTAAACTGTTAATCCAGTTCTAATATGAGATTATTCTTAGGTTGGTCCCAGATGCAGAATTAAAAAAAGGAGATTGTTGCAGGGAGATTGCCCTGCTGGAAGTGACTGAGCAAGATTTGTATTCCTTAGTGTGGTAGATAGCTAAGTATCTGAAGGGATAAAGACTTCCCTATCAGTTTCTTGTCTAGTAGCATCAGCTAATAGATTAGTAACCTGTATGATTTGTTTCCAGAGAAGTTCCGTTTTATGTCAGCTGAAGAGGCTTTGACATAGATGCACAAGAGGTTCCAGTTAATTTGCTGAGTTTTGCTGTTGTGCTGAAGAAATTTGCCAACCCTATTGACTGTTCAAGCTGCTGCTACCTGTCTCCTTTTCACTTTGTGCTATTAATTCCTAACTCATTCTTCAGCATCTTCTTAGATGATTGCTTTGATCAGCTTTGTGTCCAGTTAGCTTCCTGTGAGCACTCCTCTGCTCTCCTGAAGTCTTGTGTACATTTACATAAACATACCAGCAAAAGGAAAGGAGATGAATCTACTGTGGCAATCTCATGGTGAAGTGTTGAGTGTGGATATTCTGAGCACCACAACAGGGAAAGAAAAGAAAGCTGGAATAATATCGTGCTGATTAATTTATAGCTCAGTTAGAATTACTTTAGACCCTCAGTAACTGACATAGCTATGGGGATAAAGCATGAAGTTAGCAGATGTCAAACTTAAACTAGATCAAACAATAAGAAAATTCTATACAGTGAATGACTCACGTAGTGGAATTTGAGAAGGGAAGAGAAAGACATGTTCAGTTGCACCTCTGGTGAGCTCAGTCTTGTAAAAGAAGATTCAGGTGGGTTGTTCTCCAGACAGTTCACATATTTAACATATTTCCTTGCCATAAAAGAATAGCCCTATAATTCCAAATTCTTTTTATAAGAGTGAAGACTTATGGACTTGTCCTTGCATTCTTTATCTCTTCATAAGTGTAATGAGCAGGATGCACTCCAAAAGAAGTGCTTGTGAAGCTGTAAATCCCAGAGTACATATTACCTGCAGAAAGTGCTTGTGAAATCCTTAACCTTGCTTAAAACGATTTTACATGACTCCTTCAGTCAGAATCTGACCTACATTCTATCTTCTCTTTGTTTCACAATGGATTTTCGGGTGTTCCTGATTTTGTCGTCACCTATATTGAAAAACAGCTCATAACTCCCTGAACATGTCATTGAATCATCTGTTAAGAAAATTGACTGATAGTAATGCACGGTCAAGGCTTACTAAGCTACAACACAGCTACAGAAGTACTTCCAGGTGGATACTGTTGTGGTTTTCATTGTCCATCAGAGCTACTGGTTAGCTATGTAAGTGTGCTTATCCTGAACTGATCCTATAAGGCAACATCAGTACTGCCTAGCGTTACAGACCTAGTTATCTGGCTAAATTAGGAGCTTAGTGTCCCTTGAATCCATGGCTGATGAAGAGAATGATTTAGAACAGAAGCTAAATTAGATGTGCTAAATTAGAGTGTCTAAATAGGTCTCAGCTAACTCATTCCCCAAAAGCCACCCTCTCCAATCAGTGATATACTGGTACTTTATGGGAACTAAGCATCTACAGGAACTAGAATTGTAAAATTCATGCTGTGTTTGATGGGTTAGGAATAAAATTGGGTAAATATGCAGAACTTACCGAGAACTGAAAATGTTTTGAAGGTTCTAGATTCTGGTGACTTTTATATTAGTGAATTTAGCTCACCTAATACTTGACATTTACATGCTCAATACATTTCTATATTGTATTAAAAATAACTTGATAATTATAATGATATGTTTTAAATGAGAGTAAAATGTTTCCCAAGTTATGGAACAGAAAATTAAATGAGAGTAAAAGCATATGGCATAAACATGTAAGTCACGGACCTTTGAGGCATCAGAGGCAGTGTACCATGACATGTGCCAACACTTTGGGTTCTTCACCAGCTTGCTGTTTGGTCTGGGATGTCTGTTTTTTTAAGCCCAGTTTGGAGTAGAAAGGTTTGGCAATTTGACCCTAAATTTCTGAAAGATAAGTACAGTAGTTATTAGGTGTCTCCCTCTTAGCAGGTTTGTAATTTAATTAGTTGTTTACAAGGGCTTTGGAGGATTTTGTGAGAAAAGTATTGTGTTTGTGTCCTCCCACACTGTCTCTTGCCCAATCCTTCCTCCTCTCTGAGGTCATTTGAGGGATAAAGGCCTACCCAGTGAAGCATCAACATATTAATTATAGCATTGTTTATAGTATTGAAACCCCACCTCCTTCTCACTTCCTGCCTCTGAAATTTCCATTCTTCAGGAACTGAGTGGTTCTCAGCCAGAATAATCGCAGAGATAGCAAGCTAACTTCGCTAATACCGAATCTTAACACTTTTGTTCAAAGTGTCTCTATTTTGCTCCTATTTGTCTGATCCTAGATGCAATGTTCTCATCAAATCATGTTGTAATTAGCAACTAACACAACTGATGTATGAGTAAGCTAAAGAGGGAATACTTCCCAAAGCAGCAAGGCTAAGAGTTTGAAGAACACATAAAAATATCTCAGAGTGCTTGCCTGGTTTGTTCAAGAGGGTTCTTTACATTCTGAATGTTTTTCTTTCTCCTCTGTTCTTCAGGATTTTTCTAGTCTGGTTTCTAGTGACTTAAATAATGGGTTGCTGTTGGTGACAGTAAATGCTTCTTTTATGGAATGATAAATATAATGTTCAGTTATGCTTTTACTTGTAGCCCATGCCCATTAATTTATAGTTATTCAAATGATTCCTATTTCTCTGTAATTCTGATACTTCTTTTTGTTTTTCTTTATCCCCCAACTTCTCTCAAGTCTGTTAGTACTTTTCTGCTATAAGGGTGTGCAGAACTCACACATTTCAGGTTGATTTAATCCAGAGATAATGGCATAGGAAATACTTTTTTTTTTTTTTCTTCAAGATTCTACTGTTCATAAAAGAATAATTTAAAGAAAGAGATATGTATTTCTGTAAGCCACAGAATTTTTTGCCTGTTTTTCTATGGTTTTATTGTTAAATTATCCTATACCTAATAAGCACAAGTTTTGAGAAAACATTTTGTGCAATGGGCCATTTATATTCTTTCTTATCTGATGTGCATTTTCTTGAGGCTTATAATAGAGTTATTTTCATAGATAATGTATTCTAAAATCAGTGTTATCACCTAACGCAAAGCATGTATTGCTTTATATAGTATTTGCCATATAAACTTGTATATATATATCTTGCATATATAAATCTTGCAACTAGTAATACTAGAATACAAGAAAGAAATCTGGGGCATCACAAGCAGAAAGCATTGAGTATACCTCCAGGCATATGGTTTGACTAATGTATTTGTCCCACATGCTTGTATGTGGGTAAGACTAACATCCAGTCTATTTGTTAGATTGTAGTAAAAGGACAGACTGGGCCTGGTAGAAAAAATAGGGCTGACATTCTCCTTGTTCATATCAGTTTGAATTTGTTATTGTCCTACTGTGTTCCTTAGATTTATTCCACATCACGCATTACAGTTTGACCTGAGCCATGCTGCATAGTTAAGAACAAATTAAATATCTGTACTACAAGAAAGCAGAAGTGACATAAAAGCACAAAATTTGCATCAGAACAGAGATCTAAAACTGAATTTATGCTATTTGCAGAGAGGAATCTCTTTCTATTTCATATTGAAAATTCATGAGATATAGGGTGCTTCTTTGGGGTTCAGGGTCTTTCTTCCCCTTAAATCTTTAGCTCCTGATCTTGGACTACTTACAGTTCTTTATTTGTATAGAAACAAAAGTCAAAAAACCCCACCCCAAAACACTTTCTATGGATTAAAAGATTAATCTGAAAATATTCAAGGATAACAGAAATATTTACCCCAAATTAGTAGATTTTGTTCTATTTTTTTGTGATTTTTGGTTGGCCAACTCATTATTTTGAACATTGGGAAAGCTTATTTGGATGCTGAGCAAACAGGCATTGCTGGTAACTCTTTGCACCCTCCCTTCAGGTACTTATACACATTGATAAGATCCCTGCCTGTGCTTTCTCTTCTCCAGGCTAAACAATCCCTGTTTTCTCAGCCTTTCCTCATATAAGAGATGCCTTAGTCCTGTAATGATCTTTGTGGCCCTTTGCTGAACTCTCTGTAGTAGCTCCATATGTCTTTTGTACTGATAGTCCTAGAACTGGACACAGGACTCTAAGTATGGCGTTATCAGAGCTGAGTAGAGTGGGAGGATCACCTCTCTTGATCTGCTATTTTCATCAAAGGACTTTGCTGTAGTGAAGTTTAGTGACTGTACTTGTAAATTCTTCATCAGCCCCAAAGGAAATAACCCAGACCCTCATGGAAGACTCAAGGGCATTCTTCAACTGTAGGTGAACCATTCCATCTGGAATTTGTTGGATGGCATGCTCTTTCCCAAGACTGGAATACATCTCAGTTCTCAACAATTTCCTCAATTTTCTCAGCATCAGAGAAAAAATTAGTATAGCTAAGCTTTTAGATTTTTCCTCATGAATTTGTATGATGTGGAATGACGTTTCAGAGCTCATTCATAGGAGGCATTGCTATGACACAGGGAATTCTTCTTTGTACTTCTTTTTTCCCCGTTCATTATGGGAGCAATTCAGATGTCGACCTTTTTTTAATTTATTGTGCTGTACAAAAATATTTTACTGGCTTTTTTCTGCCCTGAGATAATTATCTCTGCTCCTGAGATAACTAGTCCACTGGCAGGAGGGGTATCATATTTTGTTGTCTTTTGTGCCTCAAAATGTGGGATATGCAAGCCAGAAACATTGTAGAGTTGATTATTAATTTCTCCTGTCTTTCCTTGTGCTGTCACTATATCGTTAAGCGTCAGTAAGTCAGGAGATGATGACCTGCCTGGGTTTTTAGCACTTTTTTTTTAGCAACTTTTTTTTAGCACAGCTTTTTTTTTGCATTCAAAAAATACCTGAGATGGTAGGTGTGCATTACTGATTTGTCAGTGAAAATGTTGAAGATACATACTGTCTCAAGCAAAGGCCATGCTAGCTCTGGTGAGAAGCACCATGTGTTTGACTGCATTCCTTATCAGCCACTTTTTCTTGACTACAGGATCTGGGAATCCCCACTCCTCCAGGCTGCCAAAGAGAACAACCTCCCAGCCATTAGGAAACTTCTCACTGAAGGAACATGTGATATCTATCAGAGAGGTAACTCGATTATTTGCAACAAATGATTTTCTGTGAAAGGCAAAAGCCTGCTACAAAGAATAGAGTACCACATTTGTTAGTTTGTTAAAACATTTGCATTAGCAGACTCAAACTACTTAACTCTATGTCAGCAGCTTTGCAACTGAATGACCTGGTTTGAGCCCAGAAGGCAACTGAGCACCATGAAGCTGTTCACTCACTCCTTCTCCTTCAGGGATGGGGAGGAGATGAAATAACAAAAGGCTTGGGAATGGACACAAGGACAGGGAGGGATGACTCACCCATTATGGTCATGAGCAAAAGACAGTCTTATTTGAGGAATGTCGTAGTTTGAGCCTGGTCGGCAACCAACCCCCCGCAGCTAATCACTCCCCCTTCCCCCTCCCCACCTGGGAATGGGGGAGGGAATTAGAGGGGTGAAGGGAGACTCGCAGTCTGAGATAGGAACAGTTTAATAATGGCAATAAAAAGAGAAAATTAATGATGATTATAGGAAAAAGAAAGAAATATATAAACAGGCAATGCACAGCGTAATTGCTCACCACCTGCTAACCAATACCCAGCCCATTCCCGGCCAGTGACCCCGAGATACCAAGATCCCACAATCGCAATCCTAGAAGCGAGAGAGAACCTTCCCAACCACCCCTTCTTTACATAGTGAGCACGATGTTCCATGATATGGAATATTTCACTGGCCAGTTAGGGTCAGGTGCTGTGGCCGTGCTCCCTCCCTGCTCCCTGTGCCCTTGCGCACGGGCAGGACATGGGGAGTCGGGGAGTCCTTGAAGTCTCGGTAGCAGCTGAAAACATCAGTGTGCTATCAGCATTCTTCTCATACCAAACCCAAAGCTAAATCCAAAACACAGCACTCATCTAGTCCCTGGAAAGGAATATTAACTCTATTTCAGCCCAAATCAGGACAAGGAAGAAAAGGAACATCCATTTAATTTGAACACCACCACTACCACCACTTAATTTAACAATCAAACAGAGCAGGACAGTGAGAAATACAACCACATCTTAAAAAAAAAACCACCTTCCCCCCACCCCTCCCTTCTTCCCAGGCTCAGCTTTGCTCCTGATTTATCTTCCTCCTCCCCCTGCAGCAGTGTAGGGGATGGGGGTTATGGTCAGTTCATCACCTGTTGTCTCTGCTGCTCCTTCCTCCTCAGAGGGAGGACTTCTCACACTCTTCCCCTGCTCCAGTGTAGGGTCCCTCTCACAAGAGACAGTCCTCCATGAACTTTCTCTGATGTGATTCCTTCCCATGGGCTACAGCTTGTCACAAACTGCTCCAGCGTGGGTCCCTCCCATGGGCTGGAGTCTTCCCAGTGATGAACTGCTGCAGCGTGGGCTTCCCTCAGTCCCAACCTTCTTTAGATGCAGCCACCTGATCCAATGTGGGGTCCTCCATGGGCTGCAGGTGGGCATCTGTTTCACCATGGACCTCTATGGGCTGCAGGGGGACCACCTGCCCTCTCACCATAGGCTGCAGGAAGGTCTCCGCTCCAACGGACCTCTCCCTTGCCTCCTTTCTTCCACTGACCTCGGTGTCTGCATAGATGCCTCCCTCACAACTCCTCCTCACAATTCCAACTCCTCCTCTCAGGTTCCCCTTCTTAAATATGTTATCACAGAGGCACATCCACTGTCACTAATTGGCTTGGCCTTGGGCAGAGGTGGGTCCAACTTGGATCTGGAGGAACTTTGAGAAACTTCTCACAGGGGGCCACCACTGTAGCCCCTTGCCCCACTACCAGAATCCCGCTATACACACAAACCCAACACAGTGAGTTTTCTGACTTGGAGAGCTCATCAAACCCTAAACAAATGGTGAAGATCAGAGTTTTAGAGCTTGAATGGTCCTTTTTTTTCTAGAGGGACTGAAGGAGGTGGTTTACTGTGGAAGGTGATCAGTGGAAGGGCTGTGTGCTTATTCACTTCATGCCTGTGTCTTACAAACATGTGAAGTCTCTGTTCAGCTTTCATATTTTGATGGAGTAAAGGACAGAGACTATGCAGTTATGTGGCTGTTACCATGTCATATGATAAGGTGGCACCTGGCAGTACTCAGGGGAGGACCTATCACTCCCATAATTCTTCACTCCTAATAAATCCATTTCTGCTTTTGTCCTGTGTAGTTGAATGTCTAGACAATTCACAAGTTTCTCCTACTGTTTCTAGGTGCCTTGGGGGAGACCGCCCTACATGTAGCTGCCTTGTATGATAACATGGAGGCGGCAGTGACTCTGATGGAAGTGGCTCCTGAGCTTGTCAATGAAAGGATGACATCAGAGCTCTATGAAGGTCACATCTCAGGGAATGAGGATGGGCAGGATTCCTTGCAGGGGGAGACAGGAAGTGCTACATTTAGGAAAGTGGCTTACACTGTTCCTGGTTCAATGTATTGCTAAACTGTTACATAGCAAAACCAACATACAGATGACTCCTGCCCATTTGTGGAATGTGGAATTATATTAAACCCAAATACACACATGTACAAACATGCAAATGCATAACTGACAAACCCTTAACCACAGGTGGGCCTGTTGGCTATAGTGGAATTGCAAGGATTTGTGTAGTTTGCTTTCTGGCATACTCATGTGTAACAAAGGGGATACCTCCCTGATCATCTCTGAAAGAAGAAAAAAGTAGTTCTTTGGCTGACAAAGAATAAAGACTGGAAATGAATGTGGCCACCTCTTTTCAGTCTAGGCTCTGAACCAGGTTTTTAAGCAATGGTTCTGACTGACTATACTGAAATGCCAGACTGAATCTTGAAACCAGTAAAATAATAATGATCAAGTTTTAAAAATTCTAATACCTAGTTTGAAGGATTAGAGCAAGTCTTCTTTGGGAGCTTTGACTTGACCTAGTCTTCATGTCCCATGAAGTCAGTCATGCAGCTTTCAGTGTGCTTCCTGGAAGAGTGTGACACGTCTTGTTTTCTCCCAGAAAAAATCTAGAAAGTACATCCTGTTGGGTTTTTTTTGGCAGGATTTAAAGTCAGATTTCATGAATTCATAAAAAAAGATTTAAGTTGAATGGGACTTCTGGAAAATCTGTAGTCCAACCCTCTGTACACAACAGGGATAATTTCAAAGCTACATCATATAGCCACTATGACACTGTCCCAGAAAATTTCAATTTACTGTGACTGAAATGTGAACTGAAGGCTACTGATCAGTTTTGAAGTTACTTTCTTGGAAAACAAGGTTTTATTTCTGTGTCTTACAGGGCAGACAGCTCTTCACATTGCAGCAGTGAACCAGAACATCACTTTGGTGAAGGCTTTACTCAAAAGAGGGGCCAATGCTTGCACAGCACAGGCCACTGGTCACTTCTTCAGGCACAGCTCCCAGAACCTTCTCTATTTTGGTACAGCCTTACCTTCTGCCCTTGTTGCTATGGGAGGGAACCAGCAGAGTGATGAGTGAATATAAGGGAGGCTTGCTTTAGTCCCCACGTAAACTGAATAAGCAGAGGCTCCTGTCTCCACATGTTATCAGTGACACACGTTTAAACAGACAGCAAGACTCCATCTGGTATGGAAATACTGCATAAATATAAATATATAATCATACACATTTTATATATTTTCATGTATGCAAAAATATATATATATTATAATTTAATTTCTTCCTAGCAGCATGTGCTCCAACTTACTTGTCAGCCTTCTTATGAAGATAATCTCCTGAAAGGACTACTTCTTCCTTTTAGTGTTGTGGGAGGCAGGTCTTTTTTTCCTTTCTGAGTAGGATTAGGAGTGGGGCAGGAATTTTACAGGTTACCTGAAGTAACTCTTCCTTTCATATCCTCTGGCTTCATAGCATGGATAGCTTTCCCCCAGCATGCTTCAACCTCTCCTGCCTTCTGGGGTCTTAATGTTGTTTCTCTCATTCCTTTCTATGCAGGAGAACATGTTTTATCATTTGCTGCCTGTGTGGGCAATGAGGAAATTGTTCAGTTGCTCATTGAACATGGAGCTGACATTAGAGCTCAAGATCATCTGGGTATGTGCTGTGGGGCCTAGTGAATTGCATACAGTGTATCTGGACACTTTAAATGAGACTCTGTGTGCACAGGTTTTTCTCTCATTACAAACTGTTGTGGGATGAGGGATGTGAGGAAAAGGAAAGTCATCAGTCAATTACCAGTCTTTGCACAGGGCCGGGCTATTGAACATACTTCAGCTGGTCTGCTTCTTTCATAGGTAACACTGTTCTTCACATCCTGGTTCTCCAACCTAATAAGACATTTGCCTGCCGTATGTACAGCCTGATACTTTCTTATGACAAGAATAAAGAGGGACCAGGATCACTTGAATTGATTCCTAACAATGAGGGGCTTACTCCATTCAAACTGGCTGGAGTTGAGGGCAACACTGTGGTGAGTTTGTGTGACAGTTGCCTCCATACAAAAGAGAAACAGAGAACTTGAAATAACATCATGAAGACCAAGGGAGTTTTTGCATGTTCTTAGTTGCTAGAAGATATTTAACTAGTCCTTTTATTTTACCAGAAGTCTCACGTAGGACCAGAAAACCCTTTACAAGAAATTGCTTTATCCTAATGAAGGGAACATTTGAGTTAAACAGGTATTAACAGAAAGATCCACCCCAAATAATTTTTTGAAAGTCTGACTGAGATTATTGTCTTTGTTGTCTAGATTTCGTTACCCTAAATGTGACACATGGGAAACTTCTTCAGGTATCCACAGACATTTCATAGACAAGAACTTAATATTTAATGTAAACTCTCATCCTTCTCCTTAACAAAAAGACAAAGGTGGTTAGTGGCTTCTGCAGATCCACAAATGACAGGATCATTTCCCTTGCCACACCTCTTTCCTGATAACTTGTAGAAGAGTATAGAAGGATTTTTTTTTTTTCTAATCAACAAATAATTGCAAATGAAATCTATTGTCTAAATGTATAACTGTGTCAAATAACTTTACTAATTTGATGAGAATTTAGAGTAAAAATCACTCATCCTTTACCTCAAGCAGGAGCTAATAATCAAATGCAAATCAGAAAAAGTTCTTCCACTTCTTAATCTGCTGTAATTGTTCCTGGGAAATATGAGAACCACAACAACTACCGAGTTAAAAGAAAATACATTGCAGTTAAGGGCTTTTAACAACCTTATTTGTTTTCACTGTAAATACACCACATACTGGAAAGCTTCTGATATCCTCAATCCCTTTCTTTTCTCCTCAGATGTTTCAATACCTTATGCAGAAACGGAAGCACAATCTCTGGTCATTTGGCCCCTTGACCACTGTACTCTATGATCTCACAGAGATTGACTCCTGGGCTGAAGATCAGTCCTTCCTTGAGCTCATTGTCTCAACCAAGAAGAGAGAGGTACTGTGGGCATCCCATGCTTTCTATGTGCAGACCATGGTGATTATAAAAGGAGACGAATGATGGATGAGTTTGACAGTTCAGTTCAAACTCTTTTATATTATCCATAGAGGAAGAAATTTTTACCATGTGCTGCAGGAAATACATGAAATGTAGCATTTTATTAATGATCTGACTATATCCGATGCTTTATATGCAGTTTATTCTGAGGTGTGAAACTTGCAGATGATTGAAAGAACTTAGTATGAGCAAATTACAGGAAATGACAATGTGATTCAGTAAAGGGTTCTCTTTCTTTCACCAGGCCCAAAGATATCAGTAACAAGTACCTCTAGAGTAGCCGTAGCAAGCAGTTTTCCGTAACTGTGATATTAATTCTCACAGTGTCCGTGTGAGACACAATTATGTTCAGAAATCCTAAACTGGAGTGCATTTTAAAACCACTCATTGTTATTTTTCCCTTCATTTAATGACATTCCTTGTCCAGGTTATGACTCAAAACAAAGTGGGAGAATTATCTCTGCTGGAGGCTCAAAAACTTATAAAGACATCACTGAGATAAAAATAGCAGAGTGTAATGGCAAACTTAGACAGATATTAAGACTTTCAAGGTACACTATCCTATCAGTTGTAATCACCTTAAATAATTTTAATAGGACAGGAAATTAATCAGAAGACTTTTTAATTAGCACAATTCTACCCATCCTGTGTTATTTCTATCTATCAAAATTTTAGTTAGATTTCTCTAACACAAGTTTCAGCTACTGGAGAGCTTTGCACAGTGTGGAGGAAGTCTATGAAACTCTCACTTACTTTTATATAAAATCTTCTAAGTTTCTATGTGTGCTGATATATGTGGAAATTCAGGGGAAAGCAGTCCATGTCAAAAAATAAAACAACCTTAGTTGTCCAGAAGACTAAACCATAATCCTAGAAGAAGGCAGAATATTGTGCATCTGTCTTATCCCAAAACATACAGTGCATGCAAATCCAAGATTCTTAATTTCAGAAGACAAGATATCCCCCAATACTATGATTTCTTTATTTTCCAGAATGCTCTTAAATACATGCAATTGCAGTTTTTACATGCATAACAAGTAATTCTTTTTTTTTGCATTTGATATATGTTTGGCCCAAAATATTTGCTGTCTCCTCTAGAAGAATGCTATGTGTTACCCCACCCTGTCATTCCCCCCCAGTCCAGTATTAGTCTAGAGGAGCATATTTAGGCCCCAATCAGAAGAAGCTTCCTCTTGTATTAAGGAGGATGTATTCACAAATAGGTACTAAGATATACTTTCTGACCCTTAAGTGGATGAAAAGTGGAAAAAATATAAGGGAACTAAACTACAGGAAACTATAGTAAGCTTCAAACTTATATCATCCCTTTGAAAATGAAATCTAGTCTCATATGCAAAGAATTCTAGAATACTGACTTCTACAGAAGACAGAACACTAGCTAGCTTCTAGCTAGTGTTCAGAAGACAGAACACTATATAGGCTATCTAGCTAGGTTCATTATCTCTCACTTAGTTTTGATCCTTTAGGATATTTCTTAGGTGATTCAAGAGTTCTGTTAGAGTCATGTCCATTTACTGCAGCATACACGTTCCTTGCACTTTGCACAATCTGCCTTTGGCTGACTGAGAGGGAATAGTGCAATGTAACAGGAGAAGGAAAACACCTAGAGTGCACTAAGTTTTCATTTAAAGTAACCCATTCTTGTCAATTTGACTTATGTCTCCTTTTGCAGTGGCCCCCTAAACATTACAATAGGAGGTAGGTCTAGAACCATTTAATAAAGTGTGTGGGTCAAACTCATAAGCAAGGTGTAAAGTACCTTGTTTGTCCTACTTACGCTCTAAGTGTCAGTCCTCTAGTAGAAGTTGAAGGCTTGATATATCCAATTCAACTAAGTAATAGATAATAATGCAGAAACTTAAAATGTAATATTTTTACATAAGGCATGGGGCTTTAGGAAAGTACTAATATCTTTTGGAAAAATGTGCCAATTTTCTTACCCTAAATCGTCTGAGACAAAAGATCAAATACAAAATACAGAAGTATTGCTGTACTAACAGGAATATTCTGTTATCCTCAGTTCTATGTTCCTATAAACAACAAAAAACATTTCAGAAGTTTATCAGGCAAATTTTAGTTGTTAGTTTTTTGCTTTACCCTCAAGATGCTATCAGAACTGAGGGTAATTTCCAATCAATAATATATATGCCTTTGCTTCCTTTTTATAGAAAAGGCCTTGTTGACATTTTGGCACTCAGTTGGCAACCTCAGTAAGGATTCTTGAAAAAGTGGCTTATTTCTCATGTGAACTCTGCATGTCTTCTGTGAGAATGGCCAAATAAATTCTTCCCCTTTTTATAGGTAGAAAAACTGCAATTGAAATAACACTGACTGTCTTAAAGTAGTTGAATCCAACTGCTTTTGACTGTCATGGGGGTAGATTGAGTGCCTTGACCTACAAAGAAAACTTTGATCCTTCATAAACATACCAGCCATAATCCTGTTTCTAGACAGAGTATTTCTATATTCTACCTACATCAATAGAAATTACACTTCCACATAAGGAAGACAGATGAAGGACTACTGGCTCACTTTTCAGCTCTAGGTAACCAATACAATTACAGCTTCAGTTCCACTATACTGATTTCTTCCAGATTGGGAATGGGCCCTGAACAGTTATAATGAGATGACAGAGAAACACAAAAAGACTCCATGATGATTGTCTGGGCTTGCAGGTGCCAATAAACAAAGTATCTTTTTTTTACTCTCACTTTAACAGCATATGGCTTATAACTGAATGAAAAAGAAAATTTTGTTTTGAAAACACATTAAGGTGATCCATTTGATTCCAAAGTAGATATGTAGCTCTTCAATTATTGCAGATCTCTGTGGCCATGATAACCTGAGTCAGTATCATCCATCTACTTTGAAAATAACATTTGCCACTTCCTTAGAACTTACTTCCTCACATTAAGACTCTAGTTTATGACCACTAGGGAGTCACAGGCCAAATTTTTCAAAAGAACTCAGCATGGAAAGAGCCAAATATTCTCTCTTCAGTTTTATTCATATGAGTATAGTACTCTTGTCACTATGTTATTGAATACATCTCAATAGTGCATTACATATTAAAATTAACATCTTTCCCATGTGGTTCATTCTTTTTTCACAGACTGTTTTAGTAAGCAGAGCATCTAGTCTTAGGTGGGTTTGAGAGTGATTACTTTGCACACAGTATTGTGTGTTCACATTGGACAAATTAAGCTAAAGAAGTGCACTTGGCTGAGATTCATCCCATCTAATTTTTGTTTCCAACTGAGGTGTTTAATTAAGGAATACAAATGCCCTACATTTTACATGTGGATGATAGAGAAATGCAAGTAACCAAGTATCTCCAGAGAGCAGTTTAGATTTTAGTTAGGCTGAATGGCAATTCATAGGACCCTATTGCCTACAAGGAGAGAAAACTTAGGATAACCACATCACTAATGAAGATACCTCCGTTAGGTGCCTAAAGTTATGTGATAGGGTTACTTGTAGTAGTGATACTCTAAGGACATAGATGAGGCAAAGTTTGTAGGAAGAAGTAATGACATTTGTTAGGCAGTTCATGTAGCTGTAATTTTATCTTGTCCTAGGAAAACAGTTAAAAAGAGTGGAGTGATATTGCTCTTTCCAATTCTTATGCTTATCATCCCAGAAGCAAATCAATAGATTCACACAGAAGCATAGATTAGCAATGTTCAACAGAGGAAAATTTCTTGATTTTTTTTTTTCCTATAACATCTTACTGTATTTTCTTTGTCCTTTATATGCCTGTGTGAGAATCAACCAGATCAACCATGAGGGCACTTAAGAAAATTTCTGAATTCTTCCTGTTAGTTTTTTAAATTGAATTGTATGGTAGGGGAGGATTCTTCCCTCCAGTGCTCATAACTCCAATGCTCTTACTTTTTACAGAGCCTCATTGTCACTTCTGAAACTATGGTCTCATCTTTTTTGATGCTGCTTTCTTTTTGTATAGAATTCCTCAGTTACACAGTATGTATGGATATATGCAGATCTTTGACAGAAACACAACCCCAAATGCAGCAACACTATTTTTCATATCATGCAAGATGCTCACTGAAGCTTCTATTTATTCCTGGAAATGTATGTAGTCTTCTAGATATATTTGAGCTGTACCACTGAGATTCTAAAATGAAGGTCCAAAACTCTGAATATGATATAAGTAATCTAAAGGAACTAAGTTGAAAAAGCCTGTTAGTTTTTTGTTTTGGTTTTTTTTTTTTTTTTTTTTTTTTTTTTTTTCACGGTATACCTTACTGTGGCTCTACTGAAGTTTTTATTATCATAGCTGAATGGTGAAAACTTCTGAAAATCCAGTCCATTAACAGGCTGCATTTAGACAGAAATTAAGGAACTTTGGAAATCTTTCCAAAGTCCTCTTTGATACCTGCTAAATCAAGGTAATACCAGTGTCAGTTTTTCAAAGGGGGCTAATCACCTAAAGCACCTTTTGATATGTTTCCTGGAGATTAAGAGTTCCACAAATTCTACTGAAGCTGTTAGAAATAGCTGTTGAAACCAATGTTAACTTACATGTATAAATGCAGAACTCTAGCTTGGAGAAAAAATTGAAGTGAGTTTCACAAGGTTGTGCAGAAACTTTTTTCTATAGCTGAAAACAGAATCCAAATTATCTTATTTTCAATTCTGTGTTCTAATCATAATGTATATTTTGCACAGAGGAGAGTGCACTGTGCTGTCTTGCTTAACAAAAAATATTCAAAATTGATTTCAGTTACTGTAAAAGACAATTCATTAATAGAATGAGTTTTGTACATGTTTGAATCCCTAGAGTTCACAGGATTTATAAACTTTGTGACACTGTAAATTTAGCCCAACCTTAATATGTATATATCTTATACTCTGCAGATAACCTTGTAAAAGATAATGGGATCTTTCATAAAGGATGCTATCAAATGGTATTTTAAATAACACCTTTTATTTTCTGTAACACGTTATATATTTGCATTCATGGACCTAGATCATAGGTCTGTCTCAAGTGTATGTGTCCAGGCCTACACAGACAACAAACTTATTCCAGTATCTAACATGCTTTTCTTACACTTCACACTGTTGCTCAAAAGCTGTTTTCTGCAGGAAATATTTTTTACTTTTTTTCAAAACTCTTTACTGGCTAACTGAGCAAATCCAAACATACTTGAGGATTCTAATTTTGCAAAATAAATGCAGCTTCCTAATGCTGAGCAGAGTAGGTGAGAATAGTTGGTTGACATTCTCCCTGAAAACAGTGGAAATGATGCTTATAAACAAATGTCTTTAAGACAATTAATTCTTTGTATCTTGCTCAGGCACGTCAGATCTTGGACCTGACACCTGTAAAGGAGCTGGTGAGCCTGAAGTGGAATATGTATGGTCGTCCCTATTTCTGTTTCCTGGCTTTGTTCTATATACTCTACATGGTCTGCTTCACTATGTGCTGTGTCTACCGACCTCTGAAACCCCGAACAGGCAACAAAACAAGCAGCAGAGACAATACAATCTATGTCCAGAAGATGCTGCAGGTACTGTGTCTATAGGAGTCAGGGCCCCATAGGCAGCATTGGGCAGCTCTCATCTAACCTACTTAACTGGAAAGTCCAAGTTTTTCCCAGTTCCCAGCTAATGCAGATGTCCTCCTTCTCTCTTTTTTTTTGCCAGCTGACCTTTGTCAGTGAGGAACGTGGGGTATGCTCTATTCTCCATTGCTGGGGCTGGGCTAGTTCCTGTGGCCTTTTCAGGCCTAGTTATGTTTATCATACTAACAGTGGGCCATCTTTTCCTCCATACTTTTTAAAAATTTTCTTTGCAGTCCCTTTACAATTTAATTTTAATTTCCATTCACTCCTTTTTTTTTCTTTTTTTCCAGGAATCGTATATGACATATGAGGATGAGTTAAGGCTGGTGGGGGAGCTGATCACAGTCATTGGAGCAGTAGTAATTTTGATTCTTGAGGTAAGAGAAACAGTGAGCTATACAGTTTCAGGTTTACATCAAGATAGATTTTACTTACTAGACAAACATGAGTTTGTGCTCACAACTTGTTAGGGGTTATTTGCTTAGACCAAGTGCTTCGATATATATCTATGGCAATAGACACTGTCAACAGTATCTACTGGGTGAAACAGAGACTGTGACAACATACTACTAAGACTCCAGGTGCAGAAGAAGCAATTAGAACTGGTCCCACTCTCAAATGCTATCTGCAGGATAATGTCACAGTTCCCATTAGCACCATATGTGGGTCCAGCTGAATCCAAGCTGTGGCATAAGATTCTTAGAGATTCTTCACGCAGCACCCCTAAATACTCATGTGTTTAGGGGTACTGGGTGAAGTGATTTCTGTGCACACACACACAAGTTTGTATTTAATTGGATATCAGTGACTGTATGGACCTATAGCCTGAGACTTACTCAACCGGAGTTCTAAGGTGGACAAGTTTAGGTGTTCTCATTACCATGAACTCTCAAAAGAATAGGCAAAATTTCTTTAAATTAAAATAAATACACCCCCCACTTGATCTTATTATAATATAAAATACAAGACTGAAACCTTTATATGAGAAATCTCTAATGACAATGCCAGATAGAACTAAAATAAAATGGGACTTGTAAACAGCTTTTCTTCTGCCCATGTATGTTTCAGAAGAACAGGTCCTTCTTCCTGTGTTTGCTCAGGACTGTGGGGCTACACTACAGCTAACACAATGAGAATTATAACAAACTCCTTTGATAACCCAATAAGGTCTTTTTTTGTCTTAATTTCTGAGGCTCAGCTGTTTGTCTGGTCTCTTCTCAGTAATCTGTATGAACTTCAGGCTCACAGCTCTGTGCTGTAACACCTCTCTGCCACATACATAGGCTCAATCTGCCCAAGCATTCTTAGATTTTTCCAAAAACCTTTGTCACATCCTGAGAGGGGCCCAATCATTCTGTTTTTAAAGTAATATTGAAATCAAACTGTGAACCAGCAAACAAAGCGGATGCAGCTGGACCCAAGACCCTGTGAATATTGGTGGTTACCATGACGTTTAATAGTGCAATGGAATCCATCTGAGTCTTAAAGTCAATAGGATGTCTCTCTTAGATTCCAGATATCCTTAGAGTTGGAGCAACAAAATACTTTGGACAAACCATCCTAGGAGGTCCCTTCCACATAATTGTGTAAGTACACCACTTTTTAAGTCTAATAAATATATTGTCTCTTATTTTCCCCACTGCTGCCGTTTGCCAGATGAGTCACTTTCTCCATTCTTTTACAGTATTCCTTCTCTTGATTTATTTCTCTTACTGGCTCAACTGGTGTGTAGGAAGCCAGGCAAGTGGACAGGTATAGTTGACAGTGCTGAGAGGTCTCTGTTTATGGGGATGCTGTCTGTATGTGCCTGTCTTGGAATTTTTGAAAAGAAAATAAAAAGGAGGGTAAGATTCCTTTAGTGATCTTTTTTTTCACTGTCTCTTCTTCCTTTGCAGCATCACATACGCTTGCATGATTCTAGTAACCATGGTGATGCGTCTCACTAGCACAGCTGGTGAGGTGGTGCCCATGTCCTTTGCCCTGGTGCTAGGATGGTGCAATGTCATGTACTTCGCACGAGGCTTCCAGATGCTCGGACCCTTTACCATCATGATCCAGAAGGTATAAGACACAAACAAATATGGGTTTGTTACACACATCCTGACACCTCTTTGCAGATAGGGAAAACTGAAAGAAAACTTTTTCTCCCTCAGGACTAGCATAAATGGCAAATGGACAGATTGTTTGGGACTTCCACATTCTCTCTTTAGTGCAGAAGTTTCCTTTAGTCCACTCATCATCTCAGAATCTGGAAGGTGGCTTTCACAGGGTTGCATTGTGACTTGGTGGGACAGTTGGGCCTTATGGTGGGTCTGTCTTTGCTCTGCAGATGATATTTGGAGATCTTATGCGCTTTTGCTGGCTCATGGCTGTGGTGATACTAGGTTTTGCATCAGGTGAGTTTTCAAAAGGGTAACAGCAATATGTTGCCCCTGCTAATTTCTTCAGTAGGAATTAAGTGTGTAAATTTAATTTATTCTCAGGTTGCCCTCTGAGTTATCTGGCAAAGCTGGTGATGATGTATAGCTTTTATTTCTTTGAGCCTGGTCACTTTCCCAGTACTGATTTGTGTTCTCATGAGTTCAGTTTTCAATGCTTGCTCTTTCCAGAGTAACATAAATTAGAACAATCCAGATAATTCCAGTCAATACGTCAAGATTTGAGTAATATAAGGTTTAAAAGCATACTCAAGGTCAAGGTTTAAAATATTCTGTATTTATGATATTTGTCTTTGGAAAAAGAGATTAACACACATAGCTCTATAATATCCTTGAAGAATAAAAGTCACTATTTTGAGAACAAATAAATAAAGTAATTCTGAGGCATTTTATGATGGAGACCAGTGATTTCTAGTCAGGGATTTGTCCTTGTTTTGCTGGATACTTCACTAGCATAGAAACACGTGTGGGACCTTCCCAAACCATTTTGTCTTGTCAGCATCTCTTATAGGACCCTATTGCTCCTCTTTGGAATGTAATTCCCATTGTTAAACAATCTTTTTTTTTTCCCCCCATTGCTCTCCTCTAGCTTTTTACATCATCTTCCAGACAGAGAACCCTGAAAACCTTGGGCAGTTCTACAACTATCCCATGTCCTTGTTCACCACCTTTGAGCTGTTCCTTACTATCATTGATGGCCCTGCAAACTATGATGTGGACCTGCCTTTTATGTACAGTGTGGTATACTTTGCCTTCGCCATCATTGCCACCCTCCTTATGCTCAACTTGTTAATTGCCATGATGGGTGACACCCACTGGAGAGTGGCCCATGAACGGGATGAGCTCTGGAGAGCCCAGGTAATCTAGTCTAGGTGGTAGGGAGTTCACTCTGAGTAAAGAAGAGGAAAAGTTGTCCAGGAAAAATGGGTTAGACAGTACAATTACTTACCCTGCCATCTGTGCTCTAAAGGAGGTGCTTTAAAACCTTTCCCTGGCCTTCACTTTTCTCAGGGGCTAATACAATAAACCATGTCCTTTTAATTCTGTTTTACACCTTCTGTACATCAGCCACTAAATTTATTTCATCCTTTCTATGAGTCTGAAGTATCTAAGTGAAAGACTACTCTTCTGCACATCTTCCCATGTGAAACTGTCTTCCAGTATATCTTTGCTATGTGGGTATTCCTACCTTATTTCAAATAGCATCTAGAAGCCCATCCAGCCTTTTTTATCCTAGCTGTTTCTTACTCATGGAATCTCTTGTTAAATAGAATTAAAGTTGCATCTTTTTTTTTTTTACAAATCACATTTCTGTGTAACTGAGAGTTAAATTGTAATTATAGGGATTGACTGAGGGGAGATAGAATGCAAGGTAATGATTACAAGTAGGTCAGTAGATCATCTTTAGATCCATTAAAAGAAGTTAGCCTGACTCTTGCTCAAAAGGCAAAAAAATTCAAACAGATCAGTTATATAGCTACTCGACAGGAAATCCATTTCCTAGTATTTTTCTGTGGGAAAGCAATTAGTCAAATGGCTAAATGTACTTGTGTGGCCACATTGGTAGGATCTGACTGTAGTTAATGCAGATATAAATGCTCCCCTCATCTCTAGCTTGCAAATTAATTACCCTACTCATTGCCATCAGGTATAAAAGGAAATAAATTTAACAGTTGAGCACTATTGCTTCCTCAAAACATGGCACAGTTAGGACTAAAATAGTGAGTTGCTGTATAATAAACAGAGTATTGAGTCTATGATTTTTCTTCATTACATATGGAGCTGTAATGAAGTACAGTAATGGGTCAGTATTCATAAAACTGGTAATTTTGAAAGAGAGTCTGATTTTTTTCTAATTCATCCAAGTGCTTTCTTTCATTTTTATTCTAAAGGTTGTTGCTACGACTGTCATGCTGGAGCGGAAACTGCCACGATGTCTCTGGCCTCGCTCTGGAATCTGTGGGCGGGAGTACGGGCTGGGGGACCGATGGTATCTCAGGTCAGTTCTCTTCTAGTGTGCGCATGTAAGGATCCCACAAGAATCCAGTGTATGGATGTTAATAAAGAGCCTTTCCAGTGGCCTGGGGAGGTATATTTGGCGTCCTTCCTTTCCAGAATACACACCCCAATCTGTTTTCTGTCTGTGATTGATAAATGAGCACTGTTCCCATCAGAAAGCTCTGCTGTGCAATTCCTTGTGAAATCAGCTGATGTTTTCTTACCCAGTAGTCACAGGAGAGAGACCCCAGAAATTGCATAGGTTATAAGGCCTGAATTTTTATTTCAAATTTCTTATAGAGTATCATAAAACTTTACTGCTGTGCTTGGCTGTCTGTCCCTATCTATTAGATACGTGAAATGGCAGAAGCAGAATCAATCAGGCATTCAGCAGCAGTGAACTGTTTTACAGATGATTCAAAATCAGAATAGGAATAATTAAAGGCAAAATTTCTTTCTTGTGTGAACGTAGTGACTATATTATACTTTGCAAAGACTGCATCATGTGGCAAAGGCTTAGGTCCAGGATTTCAGTTTAGGTACTGAAATAAGAAATAAACTAACTGTAGTCCAGATAGCCCTAGATTCCTCATTATTTCTGATTTTAATCAATATTTATACCAAGGTGAGAAAAGATTAAACTTTGGATGTATGTTATTTCTAATTGTGTCATCTTTTGCTGATGAAGCCAGAAGGGGGAGTGGTGTCAGTATGAAATAGGACTTTCTGCATGTTGTAGCAGAGAAATGAAGCTTGTAGATTTTCATGTTTGCTGGGCAGAACAAGCAGACCTAAAGTGGTACCAATACGCAACACCTTCAGTCCATGGTGCTGAATATAACTTTGCAAGAGCAATATCCCAGCAACAATTCTTCACTGGATGATGTGAGGAAAAAAAAAGTGTTGGTGTGATCTAGTTCTGTCAAATTATATTTATATTCACTGTATATAGTGTGGGACAGTATTTCAGAAGACAAGTTGGAAAGAATGTAGAGAAGGTTTGGTGGAAGTGGAGCAGTTAAGTAAAAGTTCAGCAAAAGATAAGTGACATCCTGAGGCTAGCAGCCATGGAGTATCAGAGGAGGAAAGAGAAGAACAAAGGAAATGGATGAATATATGTGAATATAGAAAGAATCTGGAGCTAGAGTCTGGTGGTGTAGGTCTGCCGATAGCTTATAGCTGGCAAAATGGAGAGGACAAATCATGAGTGGAAAATGAGTTAAAGGACAGGAAACCACAGGCAGATAGGGGTACCGAAGTCAGTGATGGAGATGAAGGTCTAGAGATAATTGTGTGCTAGCAGCTGCTAGCACCATGTCTATGATCAGTTTCCTATTTCTGTGTAGGTTTTCTGGAATGCCTGAGTCAGTAGACATATTTTTGGGAGGGTCTTGCTTCTTGTGGCTGTTCAGTTTTGTTGATAAACTGGCACGTTTCTACTTTATTCAGTTTTTGTTTTTTAATCCTCTTACAGAGTTGAAGACAGGACTGATCCCAACAAACACAAGATGATGCGGTACACAGAAGCATTTAAGGCTCAGGATAGGGATATCTATGACAAAGGTTTGGAAAAGCTGGAAATCAATAGGGACATCCTGCACAAGAAGGAACTGCCTACTCCGTCCTTGTCACAGAGCACATCCAGGACTAGTTCTCACCGTGGCTGGGAGATCCTGAGGCACAACACCTTCCACCAACTTTGTGGAGACGTCAGCCATGCCATGGAAGAGGAGGTCTATGATGTCTAAGAAGCCTCTTCTTTTACTTCACAACATGGATTGCTTGCCACAACAGTTTTCTGCAACTGTTCAGACACACTCCAGCATGCTACACACATTCGTCAGCCTTGAAGAACTCTGCTGGTGAATGGTTCATGAACAGTGCATGGCATCTGTGTTATCATATATGAATTAGGTCTTTTCTCTTCTACATTTAAGTGTCTCTTCTGTTGCACTGATATTTGCAGCAAGCTGGTGGGCTTGTTGGGCTAAGGTCTGTGGTGCTTTGTTATGCTTTGTAATGCCCTACAGAAATGAGCGAAAGAAGCCAGCAATGGAATTTCATCCACTTACAAATAAGTGATCAGTAAGCCCTCTCTCAGACTGTTACACAGTATAATCTGTCCCTCCAGTTTCACAAAATCCCAGTGGTCTCATAGCAAAGAGTGCTGACTGAAATTCTGGTTTATGGTTTGGTACAGAACTGAAAAAAACACTGTAACTAAGCTCAGGAATGAAGTTAGTTGCTGGCACTGCAATAATGATAATAAAAGGACCCTAACTACTCAGCTGGCATTCAGGGCCTGACAGATTTTGCCCCCTGAAGAACTGCAGTGTCTATTAGCTACATTTTCAACATTGCCATTTTAGTAGGACTGGTTTTGGTTTTGGTTTGGTTTGGTTGGGGGTTTTTTGATGATGTTTTTTGTTTGTTTGTTTGTTTTATTTTGTTGTCACATGAATGCACTTTAAGCTTTTGAAAAGAAGTGATTGCTATTCCTGTGAGCATTCTGGAGGATCTGAAGTAGGAACTTACTTTCCTAACGGGAGCATGTAGGACCTGGTTAGGTGACTTTCAGCAGTGTGAAATTTCAGCAGAGCTATTAATCTCCCAAGTGAGGTGAAGCTGGTCTTTTGTTTTCCATGGAACAGTAGGAATAGTTCTCTGACTTACAACTAAGCCATCAACATGGAGTAGTAAGCTACAATACAGCAGTGAAAGAAATCGAGAGGAAATGTTGGATAAATGAATAAGAGCTATTGCTGAGTCAGTTCAGAAACTGGTACGCTCTCACGCTCTCTCTGAAAGTCTACAACTATCCAATGAACAGCACTCATCCACACAGTTCCCTTCCAGGCATGGTGCTGTGCCAGTCTTTCAATTCCTCAACTGCTTAGGGCCACTTTAAGAAAAACGGAGAAATGGTCGGAGAATTGGACAGTCATTTCAGGCTTTTCTGTATTCTCAGGAGTGTGGACTTTTATTCCAATGGCAGAAGTGGAAAGCAATCCAAGGTCTTAACATTTCCTTTCAACAGGACTTAGTAACAGAAACTTGTTTTTTTAAGAAACCAGATATTATTATTTAGCATTAGACATTGAGCCAAATCACCCTGTGATAATCAAAGCAGATAATGAAAAAGCTGAATCCAGTGGATTTCTGATTGTATTGAAATATCACAGCAAACATCTCCTACACCTCCTTTCTTTTGGGTGAGGTAATGAGCATCATGATCTTTGCAATTATATGTGTTTATTTAAATGTCCTCTTTCTCTTACTTGAATGTGTATTTATGCTCCAATGGAAGACTGACAGAAGACTGCCTCTGGAATTCAGCTGCATACTTTTGAGCTGGTTCATTTTGTTGAATTGAAAGTGTTTCCTCTTCTTGCTCACTTAAGTATTGTCAGTCCTTCCTAAAACCTTTGGGTTTTGTACTGGTGATCTCTGGAGATGGGAACAATGTGGTACATTAATCAGAACTGTGAATTGCTGCTGTAACTGTAGATGAATTTTCTTTCATGGTGAATATAAAATAGCAGGTGGGGGAGAACTGTTGGCTTCCCCTTCCTCCCCTTGTTCCCTAGCATAGCAGTCTTTTCACTAGTTTGAAAACTTTCAGAAATACTGTTAAGATGGAGCTACATATAGCCATTTCTACAAAATGACTCCTCTTTGTGACATATTAATATTTTAAAAGCTTGTTTGAAGTATAAGCTGTGTAAGCCCTGGTTCTGATTTTGTGTTCTTCATTGCTATAAACAATAATGACACTTTTGATCTTGGAACTCAAAACAACATATTGACATCGCAGGAGACAGAACAGAACTCAGTTAACAGTGCTAGGCCTTTACGGATTTCTGTATCTTCTCTCCATAAAAAGAAAAGAAAAAATCCAGTAGCAGATATTTTTAAGGAAGTGTGTTCTCTTGAAAAATTACATTGTGTAATAGCTTTCAAACTCCTTGCACAGAACCCCTGCAGAGAACAGCATCACAACTGTGTGATTTATTTCCTGGTTTTGGACTTGCCTAATGTAAATAAGATAGAGAATCATAGAATATTTTGGGGTGGAAGGGACCTTTAAAGGTCATCTAGTCCAAACCCCCTGCAGTGACCAGGGACAGCTTCAACTAGATCAGGTTGCTCAGAGCCCCTGATCTTGAATGTTTCTGGCAATGGGGCATCTAGCATCTCTCTGGGCAGCTTGTTCCAGTGTTTTGCCACCCTCATTGTAAAAAATTTCTTCCTGACTGATACTGGAATTTGGCTTCCAGTTTCCTGAGATGACTTGCATATTAAAAAAAAAGGTCCTGTGAAAAAACCTTATATGAAAGAGGGCAGAGTATTTTACCAGTAATAAATGATCCCCTGGTCAATTTTGAATAATCTTTTTAATGATGAGTGTTGCAGACCAATTTTAGCATAATTTCTTTGATCTGGAGGAAAAACAGCTATAGAATAAAATTTGAGTTGGGAAAAGTCAGCAGATATAACAGGCACACCAGCACTCAGAAATATTAAATACGTAAATATGAAATACCTACCCTCTTCCATTAGGACATATACACAAGCTGTGACCATGTGAACTTCAGATGGTGAAGTAACAGGAAGAACTAGACTGACATTTGAGCTGGTTCACTGCAATCTGACTCAGACTTGGAAACAACAATGACTACAGTCACACAAAGGCCAAGCATTTTTTCTGTAATATTCGGCATGAATATGCTGCTTCAGAATTTGATTCAATGTTTTGCATTTTGTGGTACAGTTATTTCATAAAATTCTGAAACAATAGTGCTGCTCCTTTTTGTTGCAAGGTGTCTTTCCTATTCCTCTTAAAAATATTGCAATAATTTCTAAGCAGACATTCCTCCCCTCTTTGAGACTGCTAATCTCAAGCTATCTTCCACCTTACCAAAGCAACTTCTGAGTTTATGATAATGTGATAAGAATGAGTATTTTGATCCAGTTGCTTGTAATAAAATGAGAAGTATTTTGCTGAAAATAAAAATACTAAATATGTGGAGTATCTTGTCTGCTTCTTTGTGTTTAAAAATAATATTGTGGGCCAATTTTTGTGTTTGTTTCTCTAGCAGTAATCACAGACATTAACTGACAAATTGTTTGGATTGTCATGTCTGGGTCCATGTTAGATTTTTTGGGTTAAAGCTGTTTTTCCACAGCAATCTACTTCAGAAATTTCTTCTGCAAAATTTGTATAGAGTTTCAAATACTGATTTCCAGTTCAAAATAAGAACCTATCAAGGCCCTTGTTTTTTAAAGTCATTGAGTGTTTAGTAAAAACTGCAGTACAAGGTCTTTGGAGAAGAAGACATATTTTCATGTTGGTCAAATGACCTATTTTGGGCAATGAGGCCATAGTCCTTGCTATAGCTGCTTGCAATATAATGCACGTAGGTACAGGGAGTTTTCTCAGTAATACACATGCAAAACTTACAGATAGCCCAGTTTTGCATGTAAAATCATGGTTTGCTGAATTTAATGTTTACACCATTTATTAAATTATTTCTATGATTTCCTTTCTAGCCTGGATAAGGGCTTCATCTTATATTACGCATTAAAGCAAACAAGGTAAAGAAATTGCAAGTCAGATTAATGGGATGAATCCTGATTAATAAATTTCCATAAACTCGTACTGAAGTGCATCCCGTACTCTTGAGGAACTCAGCTGTAAACAAAGGGTCCTACTTGTTTATTAGATATCAATAAAATTGCTAATATGCTGAAACTATACTTTAATTGGACTTTGTATTTGCACTTGTTTTTTCTCTTGTTTGCAGTATCTAACTTTAGTCCCAGTAATATGTGCTATTTTTTTCGATTTTTATAATAAATACAATAACAAACTCATCCTTAACTATGTCTTGTATAGAAGTAAACAAGTTAACACTTTTAAGTTGATTTTTTGAGACCTTTCTAAATGTAGATAAACCGATCCAACAAATACTTGGTTCACAGAAGATAGGGTAATATTTAGAGCCATTAACTTGATTTTAAGAATAAGGTTATTTTTATTTCTGAAATGATAGCATTTTAATTAAGCTCTCAACTCTGCATACAGAACTTTTTGACAAGAGTTTTGGGCCTGCCCTGAGAAATCTGCAATCCAAGACAAGAAACTAGTGAAAATGTAAGTAATCATCTCTGAGATTGGCCATATAAATCTCTGGTCTCATTACTGTTTTGTTCTGGGTTGATAATTGTAAAGTATGTAAGAGCTGCTGCTATTTTTTCCTCTCTGCTGCTCCAACAGAAGCACACTTTACCATCATCCCTCTGCATACATGAAAATCTTGTCCTTAGAACACTTTCTTACTCATTAATCAAATGCATTGGTTGGCTGAAGTTCTCTTCTTGTGACGATGAATTAATTGAGACTGTATCTCAGAAAGAAACAGAACTGGGAAAAAAATACTATAGTGTTCCATAAGCACAATCAGCCTGATATTGAATGATGTTTAAAAACCTCAGAAGTACTAAATTGATCTAGGAACATTAATATAAAATACCAATAAAGTTTCTAGGGAGACAATATCTGCAACACAAACTAATCAACTGTGTTATTGGTATAGTCAAGCTGGACTGACAGCCACTTGGCTAAACCATGTTGTGTACTGATGTTAGCCCCACTTCTGTCCAGAACATGGAGGGAAAGTTGAAGAGTATGTGGTAGCTTCCTAGAATTCCCATGGGTATATCTGGGCAAATGAAATGTCAGCAACCAGATGGACAAAGTTACAGATTCCTTGTCAGACGTGCTGATTTCTGTAGCATCTTGAGAAATAAGTTTTCAAACTGTCCAGCTGCTTAAGTACAGAACATCTAAATCTTTGGCTGAGATGACTGAGGTACTTCACGCCTCTTGTAGCTGTGGTTTCACGCTTTCCACAGATCCAATCAGATGTTTAGGATATTAGTTACTGTCTCCTCACTGGTTCAGATAATATCCATTTGGAAAGCTTTTTAAATAGGAAAAGATGAGATGTAATTCTGCATCAAAAATAATTTTATGACAAATTCTATGGAGCAGAATAAACAGTCCTGCCTTTCAGAAAAAAAGAGTAAGTTGCAAAAAGTACTTGCCCAATGCTATTCTTATTTATGTTGTAAACTACTTTTTGCCTTCTCCCATTATGCATCTAATAAATAATAAAAAATTCACTAGCTTGCCCAGAAAAAATCTTCTGGGAGGAAATTTGAATCATTCACCTTTCATCCTTCCTTTTAGTGTTCAGTGCTTGACAAATAAAGCTCTGGGGTTTCACCTAGAGGTGAAATAGACTGGACTATTTCTTCCCACAGATAAATACCAGTGATTCTGATCATTAATCAGTGACATTATCTATGGAAGAATTTTGCAAGTCAGCGTGGATTTGAAGATATAAGAAAAAGAAGTGATTAAAAAATTGAATGAAACATTTGAAGAAGTTAGAGGATTTCTAGTAACATTTATCCATTGGCTCATAAAAGAATTGATTGTAAAGGATAGCTGAGATTATCCAACATTAGACCATGTTTGCTATGTCTTCCAGAGTCTTGAAAATCTTAAAGATGGAGATCCAAAATTCCTCTGTGTACCTGTTTCTGTGTTGCACCAGCCTTGTGGTGAGAATATTTTTCCTAGTGTCTAACCTGAACTTCTCAAGTCACAATGGATCATTGTCCCTTATTATTCAGACATTAATAGCCTTCTTTATTTGAATCCTCATCTCCCCAGAAAATGGAGATTTAAAATAAAATGGAATTGTAAGTCCATCTTTGCTCTGTCCTGTAATTTCCCTTCTCTCATCTGGTCTTGTGCCTATATTTTCTTGTCCACCAGAATTTTAGAGCTCAGTATGAATCTGTGTAGGCTTAGATACATACATACACAAACCACATTAATAACTGGAATACTGAAGAAATTAGTTTCATATTTATGGGCAAAAACTTTGAGCTAAAAAAAAAAATACTTAATGAAACTTAGCAAAGAGTATAAAGCTGGACATTTGCCTTGGTGTTTTTCTGATCCCCAGTATGAAAAATAACCTTGTATCCACTGGGGTTAAGGGTGTACTTGATAGTGCCATTCAGATAGTCTTATGGGTCACCTTACAAACCAGTAAGTTGTGAAGCCTTTACCTGCTGAAGGACATTACCTGAAGCATATTGAAAGACCTCTGGAAGTAATTTGGAGGGTATGGGTCTTCATAAAATTCTAAGTAGGCTTCACACAATATATTGCATATTGATAATTAAGACAAGAACAAAAATTTTGTAAACTTTGTTCCCTGAGTGTCCTGCTTAAGGCACATCAACAAGGCAACAAAAGGCTCTTTTTGCTTTGTAGCATCAAAGGAGACTTCCTGAAGTGCTGAGCTCACCATATTTTGCAAAGTTCATGGTTTATATGCTACAGAAGATAGGACTGAAATAGTTTGGCCTTTCATTAAAGAAAGTATGAGGGCTTCCTTCTAAGTCACTGAATCCGCATCCCACCTTAGCTTGGCACCTTTTTCTTAAATTGTAATTCATATGCAATTTTTCATGATTTAGCTTCTCCTTGGTTTCACCATACATGCACATACATGTAACAAGCACATATATGTAACATCTACACCTCCACTCAAGGGTCTACTCAAGCTTGCTGGTTGTGCCTGGGCTATGACTAATGAAAAGGTATCAGTAGTGTTGATCAGGCCTCTACGTTCAGGAGAAGAAACTGGTTTCTGTGTCATACTGTCACACAGTTTTCAGAGTAGTGTCCCTGTGAATAAGTCAGGAAAGTTGATTTTTATAAATTTTGTTTCCAAACTTTGGGACAATAAAATGGGTAAACACTGAATAATGACTATTTAGCTCTTAAATTTGGAGGAAGTTGCTCACCATTTTAAAACTTTGCTTTACAGCAGGAATATATCTTTATAGTATTACAATGTTGTGCTACATTTTTAATATCTTTATAGGTTCCAAAAAACAGAAACACTTCTTTGGCAGAAATAAGACTGGAATTTAGTGATCATAAAAATTTAGTAAATGCTAATACAGACATTTGGGAATTAACAAGGAACAGACATGGGTGTTTAGATATCAGGGTGTTTCTGGTATGATCAAATCATATGGGAGGAAGGAAGGAAAGAAGGATGAAGGAGGGGAAGGGTTGGAGGGAAGAAAAGAATGGAGAGAGGAAGGGAGGAAGGGAGGGAGGAAAGAAGCAGAGGAGTAAAAGGGAGAAGGAGGGAGGGAGGAAAGATGAAAAAGGAGGGAGGAAGAGGGGAGGGATGTATATATGACTTATTTTTTCACCTGAAGTGCTGAATTTGAGTTGACATGCTGTTATCCGACCAAGGCAAAATCCATTCTTAGTAACTGACAGTAAGGACGATTTGCCTCTACAAAAAAAAAATGCCCACATCTCCTTAAAGGCTTTTCTTCTCTCTCATTAAAAGAAGAGTTTCCTAGTACTGCTATAGTCAGAAAAGGAGAACAGAATCACAGAAATCCAATTCCTGATGCAATTTTTACAGTAAATCAATAAGAAGTGTGCATTATAGGCTGAAAGATTTCTCTTCAACTATTTGTTTAAACTGGTTATGAACTGAGTTTAGACTACATTTCTGAAGAAACCTGGTATAAGCTTTTAGCTGTAGATGAAGATGACTTACATAGTAAATTCTAGAATGTGAACTAAATGTGACGAATCCAAACATTTCAAAGATTAAAAGATTAAGTGGGATATCATTAAGTTTCTTGCACTTGAACCAAAATATAATAAAATGGCAAGAATAGACTTTAAGGAGGTACAAGGCAAATGCAAACAGAAGAATTTGAACTATGATTCTGTTTCCTTTTTTTTTTTTTTTTTCACAAAGTAATGAGATCACAGCTGCTCATCATTTTCTCAGAACTCCACCTATGCTGCTTCTGCACACAGATGTATGTACTGTTTCCCCATGTTATCC